CGAAACGCGTTCCGCGACGAACGTTTTCGTACGGAACGCGTTACACGGGCATAAACGCGTCGCGCATTGTTTTGCATTATTATTTCGCGCGACGGAACGCCCGAAACTGTGACCGTTGCACAAGCAGCTGTGCAATGTTCTCGTTTTACAAAACTACACCGGTACAGTGTACGTGTATGTATACACACGCACACGCGCACACACACACACACACACACACACACAGGTACGTGCGTATAATTTACAATACGGGCACAGGTTGTTTCGCCCGGTCGCGCGACGACGACGACGACGACGGTGCCGCCGTAAACAGCCTGCGGTGTACTCCGGCGGACGGGGCGAGAGAGAGAGCGAGCGAGCGAGAGAGAGCGAGTGAGAGAACGTGTGCGTGTGTGCTCGTGAGAGACCCGCGAGTCCCATTGGTCGGCGCGGTTATCCGAGAAAATAACGTATTTTCACCGCGTCTTCCCGCGTGCATGTAAACAAAGCGCGCACACTGTCGGAGAACCCCCGCGGGTGTCCTGCGCTCCGGTCGGCTCCAATCGCAACGAGACGGACATTTCACGAGCATCGTCGGTCACGGTTTTTTTTCTTTTTTTTTTTTTTTTCAAATGTTTCGGTTTTACGAAATATTGAAAAGTGTTTCGTTTCATTGGCTTAACCGTTCGTTAGGACTATTATCGACATTCCATTCGCATTAGACCAAATATAACACCTATGGAAGAAACAATTGTTTTTGGGTGCTGGGTAGGTGCCGGGTACATATTGGATTCAATGTCAAAATATCGTTTCGTAATTAAACACGTTACTCCGCATTGTGCTACACGATAAGAGACATTTGTTATTATTGCCCACAATCTATCTATCTTGTTGGTATAAATCTTATCAACACTTTGTTTTCATTGTCTGTTATAACTTAGAAAACATTTTTATATAGAATTAATTGTTGCTGACACCAACGAATAATATAATTTAGTGTAACTGATCAGTTTTTAAAAATTAAAACAGTTATCGTATCGGTACTTAGATAAAATAAAAAAAAAAATAATAAAAATTAGAGCCAATCGGTGAACGGGATTCCCATTAGGTTCCCTAACCACGTACGCCTTGCTTACATGCTTCCCGCGTGTTATCCGTGCATCGAAATTTCATGGTGTTTTGTTCTGAATAAATATCGGAATATGACGTCGTTTATGACTTTGTACAAGAAAACCGCGACAATATGTCCGACTGATGACGCCGTACCGAATTTGCGTTCGACAGGAACAATAGTATTAAAATATCGCGCTGTTTGTTTTTATAACGTCAGACCTAAGAGGACGGTCATGCATTTGTCGTTTCCGTCTTACAAACGCAAGATTTAGTAATCGCATCCTTACGCAAACTACACAGAACTCGCTTAGTTTTAATTGTAGAGAACGATATTCCGGAGGGCAAGACGTTGCGTTTTTTTGAAAAAGTTGTTTTTTTTTTTTTTTTTTAAATGTTTTAGCAAACTAAAAAAAAAAAAAAACGTCGAAAAAGTCGTTATTTATAAACGGTAAATAGACTGTTATAATCGGAGAAAATTGATAAAACGCAATGTCTCGCCCTCCGGTATATTGTTCTCTTTTGATTTTATAATCGGTGTTTTTACCACTAAAACGAAAATTTCAACGAGTTCTGTACATAGTTTGCGTAAGCGTGTTTTAACATTGCCGTGCGTCTGTAAGACGAAAACAACAAAATACGATGCATGAGTGTCGTCCTTTTAAAGACAAAACCGCCGCCAGAGGCGTAGCTAGAAATATTTTTTCTTAGTAGGCTAGATAAAATAATATAAATATTTGGATGAGAAAGACTATACTAGGGAAAATGTTTGATTTTAAAATTGTGTTAATTTCGGAGAAAATTGTGCCCACCCGGTCTGCACGCTGGCTACGCCACTGAACGTTGCGCGAAAATAATGTTGTATCGTTGAGTTCAGTGGCGTGACGACACGACGCCCCCTAGGCGAACTACTCGTTTCGTTCCTATAATAGAAAACAGGAATTATTATACATTTTCCATCGAAACAGTACTGCGATTGTATTTTACGATCTAGTAATTATGTTGTTGTTTGTTTTGTTTTTTTTTTTCTTCGCAAAATATAAACCCATATCACATTGAAAATTTCGTTTTAATTAAAATTAATTAAATTTACATTTACACCACAGCATGGAGGTATAATATATTTTGTACTTTTGTAATTACATCCAACGCATTTTTAAGAAATCGCGAAACTGTTTAATATTGTTTCGTATAATACCTACATTTCAATTAATGGTATGATTTTAATGTTATCAGCTTTATCAGTTTGTCAGCGTACGTAACATATTACGTTTATTTCTAGCCTTTTACTAACAACTATTACCTATTACCAAAGTGGTACCCATTACTAAATGTTATACGTTATATTTTTTTTTATTTTTTTTTTTTTTTTAGTGAACACAGAAAACGAATTGTTCACGAAACCAAAAGAACATAAACAAATAATTAAATAGAAAAATGTATTTTTTTTAACAAAGAAAAAACGAATTTTCGAGTTAATCTTGCAAATCTGTTAATGACTCCGTCAATATCAATGTTATCATTTCTATATATATATTCACGAGAGCCAATGACGTGCACAGGGGGAGATAGGTAAGTGGCTATATCGCCTCCCCCAATCGACTCAAAAAACCGTTGCTGCTATACCATCGTGTGGGACAGACAGAGAAAACAAATACCAGTGACGAGACTCCTTAAGCGTTTTGGATTGCGAGCAAAGCGATGTACTAGTTTAATATTGATTTCACTATGATGTTTTTTGTATCCGTTAACAACTTTTCGGCGTTCAATTCATGCTCGAATCATCAACACGTGATTTCGAATATAGAAAGTGTTGTCAAGTTGGTCCGCGTCGGAGAGGTCTGCATTTTCATAACAACGGTGGAAAAGAAGGCGGAAAACGGGGAATTTTACGCCCCAACGGTTTCTGTTAATTTAAGATTTTGGACTTTCGCGGAGACCAGAAATATTCGCCGAATACTAATAATGTCGGCGGTTTCTAAACGTGGTGCAAATAGAAATTTAAACGTACCCTGGCGTTTTTTCTGTTTGCTTATAGCGTTTTACTAGTAATTTCGGTTACGCGCATATTACGATTTGTCGGTCTCGGAAAAATACTAAAAAGTTTGATACGAGGTTCATCATAGGTTTGTTATTATTTATTAGCGGTTTAAAAGAAAAAGTAATTTAGTTTTTTTTTTTTTTTGTATGTAAGCGCTTAAAGTTGAAATTGATTAGACAATTGTAATTTATTTTATAGTTATAAATTATTACGAATTTTCTATTAAAATTTATCGAAAAATGTTCAACTAAACTCTGCTCAAAATCGTTTTTCGATGATTTATCGTTGCATATTCGGTAGCTCGGTGCAACACGTTACGCGAATCCGATATAACCATCAAAAAACCGTCGCCGTCGCCGTCGCACTGTCATTGCACCGGTAATACACCTGAATGGTCATTTTTCTCACGAGAAAAGCCAAGCCGGCCGAATTCATGTAAGGAAAAAAAATATTCAAAAATGTTTAAAAACCTAAACCGATGATAATCTTGTGGTTTTTGTTGTTTGTTGTTTAATTACTGCCGTGTCATTCGATTCGCGACCCGCAATTATTCGATAGTCTCGCGATTCGGTCCCTTTACCAGCCCCCCTTGGCCCCCGCCCTTCCGCCCCTCCCCAACGATTTTTAAGTCACTCGCGGACAACGTCACGCTCGGTGATCCGGACGGGATAGACCCGTGGATAAAGGAAATACAGATGCTCGACTACATACCCGTGCAAAACGATTCGGTTGATTTCAACTGCACGGTTTTCCGCACGCTGTGCCATAGTTGTACATTGGCGTTCGAATAGACACGAAGACGAAATTATTAAAATTATTTGACGATTTATGCAATGTAGTGGCAAACGAATCGATGGCGAAACGGTCAGAGGGTCTAAGCGACACGGCTTCGCTGGTGGATGGAGAAACGGACGCGTTTCGTCCATCGCGCGCGAGCTCAACAACAGCTGTGACCATTAACTAACGTCTTAACGGACAATTTGAATTTCAATAGTTTCGGGTACGATCGGTACATTTTACATTCGTCTTCTCAATTATAGGGCCTAAACGACGATAAAATCCGATCGACAGTGCGTATTCATATTACAGACAAAAAAAAAAAAAGTATTCGGTGAAAAAATTCCCGGCCGAAAAAAATTTTGAAATCACAAATACATGTTTTTTTCTGATCCTCTTGAAAACCACGATAACCGTGTCGCTTAGACCCTTGCGCCGCGCCGCCATCGAAATATCATCGGGGCTCTTTTGGACAAGTACATCTGTGTGTCTCATACCTACGGACCGACCGGCACGAAATACGAAATTATTTCGGCACACCCGTAGGTACCGATGCGCAACCGGAGGAATCTTCGGCGGCGGCGGCGGCAGCGACGACGACGACGAGAAACGCTCTGCTCGACGGGTCCGCGCCGCCGGCGTGGACGCCGATCCGGGCCGAACATAACCGAGAACGGCCGACCGACCGGAAGGCGACCGCGCTCCGCCGCTCCGTCGGCTCACCCCTCCCTCACCGCCGGCAGCGGGTTACCTCCCCGCCGCCGACCCACCCCGCGACGCGCGACACCGCCGCCGGCAGAGATGGGCACAAACGGTACTCCGCGCGCCGCCGCCGCCGTAACTCGGCGCGGTCGACCCCCCACCACCGCCGTGACCGTTCGTTTGAAATATCGTCACACACACACACACACACACACGCGCCCGCACGCACGCACACAAACGCAAACACACGCGCGCCCGCGCCCGCGCGCGGCACACTGCCGCACACACACACGACACACACACGGGCGCGCGCACATACACGCGAACGCAACACACACGCACGCAACGGTGTGTAAGTACATGTTTTTTTTTTTTTTCCGTCCGTCCGTCCCGTTCCCCCGTTATCGTCGACCGTCGTCGTCGCCGTCAGTACGGTATACGCTCTCGTGACGCGCGTACTTGGCGCACGTCTGCTGTAGTTCTCTCCGTTCGTTACGCGCCGTGTTCCGTTCCGTTTTTTTTTTTTTTTTTTCCCGTGCGAGCGACGATTGTTTTTTTTTTTCTGTCTCTGCTGTCTGTCGCAATCGTTATTATTCCGTACCCACTCGTACCCATTATCAGCCGTCGTCATGTGCGCCGTCCGCATTACGACGCGTGATTTGTGACGCGGCCGTCGTCGCCGCAGCCGAAGATCTCGTTAGGCCCGAACGGCGCCGCCACCACACCAGTGCACGGACGACGCGAGACGACACGCACACGCCGTGACGTCATGTCGGCGGGCCCGTACGGGACCATCATGGACGAGTTGGGCGGCTTTACCGAGGTGCCCATCTCGTACCGGCACATCTCCCGGTTCCAGCCGTACCGGGTACAGCCGTACCAGGCCCACGTACCGCCGCCGGCCGCGCGCAAGGTCAAATCCTCGTCGACCGCGGTGGAACGGCGCACCGTGGCCGGCGGTTGCCAGTACGACGAGAACCGGCCCACGCACGTCCATCGGATGTACCCCGAAATACTGGCGTTGATCTTCAGCTACCTGGACGTGCCGGACAAAGGCCGGGCGGCTCAGGTGTGCACCGCGTGGCGCGAAGCCGCCTGGTACAAGTCCGTGTGGCGCGGCGTCGAGGCCAAGATCGACATGTGCCGGTCGTCGCATCCCATGTACGAGAGCCTGAAGCAGCGCGGCATCAAGCGCGTCCAAGTGCTGTCCGTGTCCCGGTACAAGTGTCTGCGCGAGATCGTGCAGAACGTGCCCAATCTGGTGTCGCTGAACATGAGCGGCTGTTACCACATCAAGGACGAGGACCTACACCAAATGTTCCTCGAACACCATCCGAACATCTCCGAACTCAACCTGTCGCTGTGCAAACAGCTCACCGACGGCGGTCTCATACGCATCGCCGACACGCTGCGCGGTCTCACGCGACTCGAGATCCAGGGTTGCTCGTACATCACCAACAAGGGGTTCTCGCACATAGCGCGCAAGTTGAAAAAACTCAAGTATCTCAACCTGCGGTCGTGCTGGCATCTGTCCGACGTGGGACTGTCGCACATCGCGGGCGCCAGCAAAGACTCGACCGACGGGAACGCGCAGCTCGAGTTTCTGGGACTACAAGACTGCCAGCACATCACCGACGAGGGCCTCAAGTACGTGTCCGAGGGTTTGCGCTCCCTGCGCAGCCTCAACCTGAGTTTCTGCGTCAACATCACCGACACGGGCCTCAACTACGTGTCGCGCATGAACACGCTGGACGAGTTGAACCTGAGCGCGTGCGACAACATCTCCGACATCGGGATCGGTTACCTGTCCGAGGGGTGCACCAAACTGGGCAGCCTAAACGTGTCGTTCTGCGACAAGATCGGCGACCAGGCGCTGCTGCACGTGTCCCACGGCCTGTACGGGCTGCACACGTTGTCCCTGGGCTCGTGCCAAATATCCGACGACGGCATGCTGTACATATCGAAATCGCTGCGGAACCTCGAGGTGCTCAATATCGGCCAGTGCAACTCCGTCACCGACAAGGGCCTGGAACATCTGTCGGACTCGTGCAAGCTGCTGCGGTCCATCGACTTGTACGGGTGCACGAAGATCACCAAAGAGGCCAAAGAGAAAATCCTGAAAATGCCGAACATCCGGAGAGACACGGTCAACGAGGACCTGTGGCAACTCAGATGACCGAAGGGTCTGTTCGTTTTTTAACATTTCGATATGTGATACGTAATTATAATTTAGGTAAGTTATTATAGTAGCGTACGCGTTACGTACGTTTCGTTGAGAATATCCGGTTCCGCCATCGTTTTCTATAATATTATTATTATTATTATTATTATTATTGATATTATTATTATTATTATTATTATTACTAAAAAACCACCACCACCACCACCACTACTACTACTACTACTACTACTACTGCGAATATTCGTCAAAAATTCGTTATCATCGCCGCGTCACCCGCCCGACCGAGTTTTCAAACGATAATAACAATAACAATAACAATAATCGATTCCCTTTTCTTTGAATTTTCCCCCGGGGGGGGGTCCGTTCGTTATTAACGACGTCGTCGTCGTCGTCGTCGTTTCCCGTCTCGTACCGCACCGACGCCGCACCGGCACCCGCGAACGAACGCCTCGCGCGCGCGTCGCTCGAAACCCGAGCCGCGTTGACCGTTCGCCTGGACGGGACCGCGCGCTTTTCGACCCGTCCGGGTGTCCGGTTTGTTTTGTTTTGTTTTTTTTCCCCACGGAAAAAACCGTCGGCGCGATCCTTCGGCGGCCTCCCCTCCCCCCACCTAACCCCCTACACCCCGTCGGCGGTCGGGCCGTTCATTTTCGGATCGCGCCGCGGCCGAGTCCGCGTTACAAATCGTTTATTATTATCGCGTATTTCTTTCCCCCCCCACCCCCGGTGTCTGTGTCTCTCCGTGTGTCTGTCCGTCCTCTCAATCCCGACCTTCGATATCCGCCGTTAGACGACGATTTTTTTTTTTTTTTTTTTTTTGTTTTCGTTCTCTCGCAATTTAATCGCTTATCGTTGTTGAGTTATCTATTATTTTAATTATAGGATATTATTCGTTTTGCATTCGAACCGCACTTAGGCGTAGCCCCCCTCCCCCATTCCCGCCCCGCCAACGAGCGTCTCTTTCTCCTTGTCGCGTCGTTTTCGGTTACGACTCGAAAACCGGCAGTAGTCCCGATAGGTACTGTTTTTTCTCACTCTCTCTCTCTCTCTCTCTCTCTCTCTCTCGCCGTTTTGATTTCTTATATTTTTTACATTTTGTACATCGATGTGATAATTTATTTTAACGCTCACGATATTTGTTTTAGTATATATATATATATATATATATATTATTATATTAATGAATACGCGTATATCGAATAACAATGTAGAAATTACTATTATTATTGATTATTTTATTACATTAATTATTATTGTAATTACTTTTTTTTTTCTTTTTTTTTTTTTTTTT